TTCCACGGCCCCACTCATCTTCCTAGAAATCACTTACCCTGTCCTACCAGGCTTATGTTCCCCTTCCCCTTTCCCTATTAATATGGTATTTAAACCTGAATTCTAAGCCACATGAGTTACTCCTTTTCCCTTGGTTATATCCCATGTATACATACTGACACATCTTAATAAACTTCTGTTTGTTTTTCTTTCTTCTCTTTTTTTTTAATCCTCACCCGAGGATATTTTTTTCCATTGATTTTTAGAGCAGATCCAGTGGAAGGGAGAGGGAGAGACAAGAGAGAAACACCGATATGAGAGAGACACATGGATTGGTTGTCTCCCGCATGCCTCCGACTAGGGCCGGGAGCTGCCACTGAAGTATGTGCCCTCGACCAGAATCCAACCCGGGACCCTTCAGTCCGCAGGCCGATGCTCTATCCACTGAACAAAACTGGCTAGGGCTGTTTGTTTTTCTTTTATTAATCTGTCTTTTTGCTAAAGGATCCCCTCCCTTCCTCTCTGTAAAAAATCAATAAAACATAGATATTTTTTTAAAAAAGAATCCCATCTGAAAACCTAAGATGGGTGGAGGTAGTTTTGACTCCTCTATAAAGTCCTAACCCACAGTACCGTAGACTTGTAACTGTATTTGGAGACAGGACCTTTAAGAAGATATGTAAGTAAGGTAAAAGGAGGCCTTGACCCTGCTCAGCATGGCTCAGTGGTTGAGCATCGACCTATAGACCAGAAGGTCAGGGTTCAATTCCTGGTCAGGGCACATGCCCTACAGGGGGCCTGCAGGAAGCAGCCAATCAATGATTCTCTCTCATCATTGATGTTTCTAGTTCTCTCTCCCTCTCTCTTCTCTCTGAAATCAATTAAAATATTTTTAAAAAGGAGACCTTGAGGTGGGCCCAGATCTGATCTGACATCTTTTTAAATTATTGATTGATTGATTAGAGAGAGAGGAAGGAAAAGAGAGAAATATCAATTTGTTGTTCCACTTATTTATGCATTCATTGGTTGATTCTTTTTTTAAAATTCTCACCCTGAGGACATGTTTCCATTGAATTTTATTTTATTGTTAAACTTATTTTTAATTATTTTTGCTAATCCTCACCTGGGGATATTTTTCCATTGATTTTTAGAGAGAGTGGAAGGGAAGGGGAGAGAACAGAGAGAGGAACATCGATGTAAGACAGACACATCAATTGGGATTGGTTGCCTCCTGCATGTGCCCCCACCAGGCCAGGGACTGAGCCTGCAAGTGAGGTACGTGCCCTTGACCGGACTCAAACCCAGGACCGTCAGTCCACGGGCCAACACTCTCTCCACTGTGCCAAACCAGCTAGGGCTCTGTTGAATTTTAGAAAGAGAGAAACATCAATTGGTTGCCTCCTGTATGCGCCCAGATCAGGGATTGAAACCAGTACCTAGGATGTGCCCTGACCAGGAATCAAACCGGAAACCTGTGGGGTAGGGGACAATGCTCCAACCAACTGAGCAACCAGACCAGAGCTCATTGGTTGATTCTTTTTAAAAATATATATTTATTGATTTCAGAGAGGAAAGGAGAGGGAGAGAGAGATAGAAACATCAATGATGAGAGAGAATCATCCATCAGCTGCCTCCTGCATGGCCCTTACTGGGGATGAAGCCTGCACCCCTGGCATGGGCTGATGGGGAAATTAACCGTGACTTCCTGCTTCACATGTCGAAGCTCAACCACTGAGCTACACTGGCCAGGCTCATTGGTTGATTCTTTATTTTTTCAGAGATGAAGGGAAAGGGAGAGAGAGAGACAGAAACATCAGTGGTGAGAGAGAATCACTGATCGGCTGCCTCCTGCACACCCCCTAGAGGGGATCAAATCCGAAACCCAGGCTGAGCCAAACCGGCTGGGGCATTGGTTGATTGTTGTAAGTACCCTGACGGGGGGATAGAACCCGAAACCTTGGCTTATCGGGAGGGCTCTCTAACCAACTGAGCTACGTGCTCAGGGCTCACTGACTAGGGTCTGTCTCAGAAGAGATCAGATTAGGACATAAAGAAAAAGATCACGTGAAGTCAGAGGGAGAAGACTGCGTCTGCAGTCTCGGAGGAAATGAACCTTCTCAATACCTCGATCTTGGACTTCCAGCCTCCAGAACGGGAAGAAAATAAATTTCTGTTGGTTAAGCCATCTAGTCCCTGGTATTTTGATATGTCAACCCTAGAAAACGAATATAAATACATTTTGCTTAATTTTCCAAAATAAAATTGCAATAACAAATAATGCCTTTTCAAGCTATACATGCCTCGGCCCCATTTCCCCTGTGGATTTGTCCCTTCTAGCCCCAGCACTACCATTTCCCCCGTGGAAAGTTGTTGACCTGTAGGACAAAGATCAAACTCCTGAGTCTGGCAATGAAAGCCTTCCTGCCAAAGCCCATCTCCTACTCCCCCTCATTTTAGCTACTAGTGTTTCTCCTCCATATCTCAGGCTGTTTTGGTTCTCCCTTCAGTGGCTGTGAAGGGCAAGGTTAGAGAAGTAGGCCGTTGAGAGCCTGATGAGGGGTTGAGTGGGATAGCTATATGGAAGGAAGATGAAATGGAGATGAGACTAGAGACAGGGAGACCAGCAAGGTCCAATAGCAATAATCCCAACCAGAGAGACTGTGACCCAGATTAGGGTGTGGGGGAAAGATGAGTGAAGTGGATAGATTTCAGAGATATTTGGGAGGTAAAATTGACATGTATTGGGTACTCAAAAAATATACTTTAAAAAAATATTTTTATTGATTTCAGAGAGAGGAAGGGAGAGGGAGAGATAGAAACATCAATAATGAGAGAATCATTGATTGGCTGTCTCCTGCACGCCCCCTACTGGGGATTGAGCCCACAACCCAGGCATGTGCCCTGCCTGACCGGGAATGGAGAGGTTTGTAGGTCAATGCTTAACCACTGAGATGCTGGCCAGGCTAAAAAGATATTTGTTGACATTCCTGTTTTTCCTTTCTTTTTAAAGTAAATAGAGCTTTGGCCTGCAGTCTGAAGGACCCTAGGATCAAATCAATTCCTTCCCATCAAGGGTACATACCTCTGTTGCAGGCTTGATTTCCCAGCCCTGGTCAGGGTGCGTGCAGGAGGCAACCAATTGATGTGTTTCTCTCACATCGATGTTTCTCTCTCTCAGTCTCTCCCCCTCCCTTCCACTTTCTGGAAAAATAACCTCGGGTGAAGATTAACAAAAAATAAATAAAAGGAGGACTAGTTCTTTTTATTTTTATTGATTTTAGAGAGTGAGGAAGAGAAAGAGAAACATCAGTGTAAGAGCAATACAGTATGTGCCCGGACCAGGAATTGACCCTGTGACCTTCCAGTACACAAGACAGCACTTCAACCAACAGCCATACCAGCCAAGGCCTGCCTGTTCTTTCTAAAGTAGGCTCTTTGGTTACTCCTCTGAGTACTTCCTTTATAGCACCTTTCACAGCCTGCAATTACCTTATTTATGTGTTTGCCTGTTGTATGTGTCCATCAAGCAGATTGTAAATTAAAGGAGGACAGTATCCTTGCCCAGCCTCATTCAGACAGTGCTGGGCACTTAGCAGGTGCTCTCCATAAATCTTTGAGAACTGATTGGAATAATAATTGACTGATCCTATGCAGTGGTTCTCAACCTTCCTAAGCCGCGACCCTTTAATACAGTTCCTCATGTTGTGATGACCCCCAACCATAAAATTATTTTCGTTGCTACTTCATAACTGTAATTTTGCTACTGTGATGAATCGTCATGTAAATATCTGATATGCAGGATGTATTTTCATTGTTCGCGACCCACAGGTTGAGAACCGCCGCATAGAGCGAGGGCAGAAAGGGGAGGAGGACAGGGCCAGGAGGAGACTATGACAAACACTCCAGAGGGGCTAAGACCCCACCTCTCTCTGCCTCTGGCCCTGGGAAGGGTCGGCATGTACCAGGGCCCGAGGGGCCCAGATGGCCCCGGACCACCTGCCCAATTGTCCATTGCTAGGTTTGAGAAAATCCAATTCCCATTCTCCCCTTTCTGGCCTTCTGGCGGCTGACTCAGGGCAGTGAGGGTTTCCAGAAAAGAGAAGAGGAGACCCCGCTGGAACCCTTGATCTGCCCCTCGCGTGTGGAAGTGGGTAGCAAAAGCTGTGGTCTGGCGCATGGTAAAAGCCTTGAACGCCAGGTCTGTTTGACCCCAAAACTCAGTGTGGCAGCCCCACTCTACCCCGCTCCTCTTGGGTAAGCCAGGCTCGGCTCGGGAGTCTGCAATTCCTCCCAGGCCCCGAGGGGGGCAGCACTGGGCCGCACCTGGGGGCTCTGGCCAGGGACTGAGGCATTTAAAGGCGAGTGTGGAAGACGCGGAAGGGTGAAAGCAAGCGTCGGGGTCTCCTCTTCCCTTTTCCGGAAATCCCCACTGCCGTGGGGAAACTCCCCAGATGCCCAGAACTCACTCTGACTTCAGCATAAACCCCGAAGACGGGGAAAGAAATGGGCGCCCAGTCCCCAGGGCGGGAGGAGAGGGGCGGAGCGGCGGCTGGCCCCACACCCTGGAGGAAGCCACGTGGTGACCGGCAGTATGG